CTGCATTTTTTATTTTGATATTTTTTTAAAAATTGGAAAAAAATATTTACACATTTTCAACTAAACTCAAAAATACATTTGTAAAATATATCACTAAAATGTCACAAATATTAATCTTTTTATTGCAGAAAAATATTATATTTTTGAATAAACTATCATTTTGAACTAAAAATCTGCAAGATTCAATTTTATCTTGATTATATATATATATATATATATTCAATATGTTTGGCTTGAGTGTACATATTACTTTAATAAAACACGTGCATTTAACTTTATTATTTATCATGAAAGAAACTCAATTGAATACATAAATATAGGGTTGTTGATTAAAATTATCTATGTTTTGTTATGTATAACTTCACAATTATCATTTTGAAAGGTAAGATATATATATATATACAAATAAATAATTAACATCAACTTTAAAATTTACTTTTTAAAGTAAAATAATAATAATTTAAAATTTGGATTATAATATAACTCAAATTACTCAAATCTGATTCATTTTGTCACACATCTGATCTGACTTTCTCAATGTTTTTACTTTTTCAAACTTAGGAAAAAATATTATATTTCAATTTAATCTATAAATATTATATACAAATTTATATGTACTCAAAAAAATCTTAGATTCAAATTTATTATTGAATTCTTTTATATTTTTTAAGTTAATGATTGTAAGTTTAGCTAATAGTTGAAAGAATGGACATACTTTTAATAGTGATTGCTAATATCAAATCTTATGACAAACATTACTGATCTCTTCTTTCAAACACATTGTATTTACAAATAATAGGTTTTATGATGCATTGAAAAAAATTTCATCTTTAAAAAAAAGTTATTCTTCATATTTTAGAATTAGAATCAATTATTTTATAGTTAGAATTATACTATCATTGTTCTTATCAAATAATTTTAATATTCATTAACTTAAATCATCATATTTATGCATTGTTCTAATCACAATAACATAAATACAATCACTTCTCTCGTATAGTTATATAAATCAATGAACAAGCATATTTTGTATATAATATGTTTGAATCATTGAAAGTTATAGATTTTGAGGAAAAGTTTTCATTTTTTTACACATATTTCATACCATGATCGGTGATATCATTAATAAATCTTATCAACATCAAGAACACGTTATTTTTAATGATTTGTTGATAATACAGTCAAGATAAACAAAAAATTGAACCTAATTATGAGATTTCAGATGAATTAAGTTCAAACTAAATTTTAATTTCAAATATTATTTCCAATTATAAAATTAAGATATAGTTGATATGTGCAATAATATTTTTGAAGGAGAGATATACATTTCTGATTTTTAAACGTCGTAAAAAAGTCTGTATAAATCAACATGGATAATCTAATTTTATTTTCCAATATTTTTAAATTCAAGCATGGAAAAGTTCATTCAATTTCTTTATAAGTCATAACATAGATTTGAAATGTATACATTAAATCTTTATATTAGAGTTGAAAACATTTTGAATGGTTCATAAAAACTTGAGTTCTTATGATTTTAAATATTCTTTTTTTATATATTAAAAATAATTTAATTCATTAAAATGTTATATTTCACATTATAAAATTTATCTTGATGAATTTATGACTGCTATCTGAAAAAATAATAATTAATGCCATGCAATTCAAAAAGTTGAGTTGATGATTATTTTAAATTTTGTTATGATTATATTGTGGTATGCTAATAGAATTGAAATCTATTGTTAAAATATCAATGAATTGATTTTGAAAATTTTCGAGCATATAATATAATGCAATAATATTGTGTATACATTTTTTTAATGTATTTTTTATTTTAAATCATAAGATTTTGTGAGTTCAAAATGTAATCTTGAGAAATATGTACATTTTCATAGTTGTAAAATTTTTTTTATTCAAAAATTTACTATATTATATAGAGCATATGTCTAAAATTAATGAATTGTAATATTCAAATAATTTAGATTTGAAATTAAAAAAACATAAATTTTCTAAACAAAAAAACAAAAATTTGCTATTTTAAATATATAATGTAGATATCCACAAAATAATTCAAACACAACAAAACAAAAGTTAAAGAGATTTGCATACATCCACGAAAATACAAAAATTCTATTGATAATGTTCAAGTCAGCAAGCTTGTTCGTCCAAATGAAAGCATAATTAGTTGATTAAATCCTAAAAGTTCACCAATGTGTGTTATTATTATGTGTTTACTTTGTCAATGAGGATATTGACAGACGAGACACTCAATTAAAACTAACTAGAAGTAAATTATAATCAAAATATGATAGAGTATAAATATATAAAGTTTACTAAAATTACTAGTAAATTATACTTGTGCTCCTTATGTGAAAGGTGCATAGTAGCACAATATATCATAATATTTTTTAGAATATTAACATTGGTTAACTCATCAACTGAATTTTTGTAGATTTTGACTAATTCAATAATTTTATCAAAAACTCCATGTGAGATAAAGTGATACTTGATGTGAAAGTGTTTGACTTTATTGTCAATCATTTGATTTGCAACCGTATGCATACACTTAGAAGATTGACAACCTCATGTTTTAATCTAATCTCAATGATAGTCATATTCAATGAAATAGCTTCATTTGTTGTGTTTGCTACTACTAGAAATTCTCAATTAATTAACTTTTTCAAGTTTTGTAAAAGATGTTATGCGTAACTTTGGTAAATGACGGCGCGTTTGTGATACATTGTCGCTGACGGTGAATTCAAAGTATCATGACATTCGACTGTAGCATTTTGACTGAATTAGATTAATCTCCATTGTACTATTTAATGCGACAAATCTACTTATCATGCCAAACATTATATGTGTGTTCCATTGAACGTAATCAAAAAAGCAAATAATGTTATATTTTGTGACTTTTGAAGTATGTATTTTGATTGTCTCATGAAACATTACGCAGTAGTAAACTTAGTTATGCACTTCGGCAAGGTATATTTTCAACTAATGCATCCATCACAAACACATATTAGGTTAAAAATTTACTCTTGTTGATGTTTTATCTATATATGTATGTTGATGTTTTGTTCATAGTGAACATTAACGTAGGCTAGCAAGTATTTGACATTGTCTAATAAACCATGAAAATATATATTAAAACTTATAATATTTTCAAATATTAAGAATCTTTTCACTACTTCCAATGCACAAGATTTGCAATACATTTGTTCATCCCTAATTAAAACAATACAAGATTTGATGCACATCGTCAAATACATTATACTATCTTTAATTCTGTCATACGACATTGATGACAAAAAGTTTGAAATGTGCTGCCAAAGACATCATTGATTCTTTAGACTCTGTCGTGTTAAACTTGTCCAACACATAGTTGAAGTCACTTGACTTGATTCAATCATATACTCTTTTTCATCAAATATTTTCTAACATTCATCCCTAATATACTCTTGGACTTTTCAAAATGCTTCATTTTATATGCATATGTCTTGATTTTTGCATCTGTCAAAGTGAAATTGATTTATCATCAAGATGATCATGACATTCACATAAAGTAGTAGAATAATAAGATTAAATATCTTACTATCTACTTTCATCAAATAACTTTAAATGTTCATCCCTAATGTATTCTTGGATTTATCCAAATACTCCATCTTAAATGTAAATGTCATTTGATTCTTGCATATTCTAACGTCGGATTGACTTGTTGTCAAGATTAGCATATCATTCACAAAGAGTAATAAATTAATAAGATTGTAGATTTCACTTTTTAATTTCTTCATGAACATATAATTGTCATACACATTCCGTGAAAAATCTTCTGCTTTCATGAATTTACCACATGTCACATTTCATTGTCAAGTAGTTTAATTCACTTCATGTAATGATTTAAAAATCTACAAATAAAATTTCCTGATCTTTCAGCTCAAAATTAACTAGTTTTAGATATGTAGATTTCATTCTTTAGAGAAAAAGTAATTTCTATAGGATACATAACAAGACTAAAAATTGCAACAAGTGTAAATACTGGATAAATTGCAGTATAGTTTGCTACAGGTGAAAAATTTGGTTATAATTCAAAATTTTTGTTATTTCATTATTGAATTGGATCAAAAAAATGTACACATATGACCAACCAACTATAATGGTTGAACATTGTTTATAAACTTTGCCATAAGTTTGAACTAATGATATATTTATTAATTTAGGTATAGTTATTTGACTAGAGTTACGAAGTCTTGGGTTTTGGATAAATGTATGGGTTCGTAAATATGTAGTGTGAGTCGGGAGGCTGAACGGAAATTGAATGATGAATAATGAGGATTTCTAAATTGTAGTGAAGTGGTGAACTTTATCTCGGGGATGAGATTTTCGGTAATTATGATTTTTTAAGACTGTGCTTGGACGGAGTAACGTTCAATAAGGACAGAAGAGTTAGAGCAATGTGTATGCCCAAATGAAAAAGAGTTATCTTCACTTTGTGAATTTTCGGTGAAAACCTTGGATAATGTTTCGTTGTTGTGATAAATCTCTGTATTAAGGGTATAATATGAAATGTTTTATTTGACCTTGCCATTTATAGCACTTTGATTGATGGATGATTGCACCTACGTAAAAGGTGGAATAAGTATCAAGACGATGATTGTTGGATTCTCAAAGTGCCAAATTCCCATAGGGCTTAGATAAGGAGTTATCTTCGTGGATTCACCGTGAGTGCGTGAATGTGCAATGCGGGAGTTTGAGAATAGAGCTTGTTCGATGGATTGAGTTGATATTGGTTTAGAATTGTGGTTTGATTGATCCTTATCTACATTTGGGTTATCAGTTGGCGACAACCCGGATCTAGAATACTCTATCTAAGATCGAGGAGTTCCAAGCATTACTTTCCGATGAGGTTAAGTTAGGGTTGTTCAGATTTAGGGTTTCACTCGATCATGCAGGAAAGGCTTGACCCTCAGGGTATGAAACACGAGCTCCTCTCGTAGATTCCCACTAATGTGTTAATTGATTCACGTTCCGAGATATACAGCCATGTTAGAATGTCTATCTGTGAGACCTCAGGATCCCGGGAGTTCGCTGTTCTGAAATCTGAACAGTCTTGGTACTTTGTGAAAACCTTCAGACCGTGGCTATAAGTGATATACTCTTTTCTGTACACTTCTTTTGAAAATCTTTGACCACCCTTGCTCATTTAGTAGGTAAACTCTTCGGACCCCCTTTTGGGTTTGTAACGTTTAAGTCTCCATCTGTGGGAATACGTGTCCGTCATGAGTCGGACAATGTGGACGATCACCGTGATTGCAGTAGGAGCTGGATGCTTGGCCATAGGTTATTATTTCGGAAAACAACGGGTTCTCTTGGCGAAAGGTGTGTCGCATTTAACTGAGGCCGGCAGGGAAGCATCGTCCGGAAAAAGCCTGGAAGTAGAGAGGCTAGCTGATGTTCATGAAGACTTTAAAATGGTAAGTTCTTGTCTATATTTCTGTTTTTCTTACTTCCCTGTTTTAGCGATAATTTTACGCCCACTCACCAGTGCATTCGTGGACGACATCAGGTGAAACAACTGGGCACGATCATAGAGGAAGGTGAGGAAGCAAATGTGGAGCTTTTGTTTAAGAACGGTGGCCCAGAGATCTCGAACCGTGGACGTTGATATAGGTTAGTAAATCTTGTGGGTTGTCTTAGTCATTGCATCTCTGTTTCTCAGATTCCAAGAGCACAAACATAAATGTTACCAAGATTTTCCATTTGAGATCTCAAAAATTTTCATCGACCCAAATCCGTGACGGTAACAAATTAGCCAATCACATGCTGGTTCCTTCGCATGGATGCTTGCCATTCATCAAGTCCCAACTTCACATGTGCCTGGTCAGTATGATTACCCAGAGGAAAATGACAGCAGTGCTGTTTTTTGTCAGTGGAACTTCACCTCTGACTTAAGCGTAATGCCAACAGTCTTTGTTCAGATACATAATTCACCTCTTCAGCGGTGTGAAGGAAACCACGGCCTGCTTTCCGAAGAAAATGCAGACGGAACAACGTTACCCGATGATTAGACACTTCGTACTTCACTTTTGTGGTAGATCTGAACATTACGGTTCTTGCCGGTAGTGGAGGTCTTTCCGCCTTTCATTTATCTGACCCCTTCTTGTCTGTGCATCACTTGCAGGTATTGGTTGTCAGGAATGATCTGAAGATGGGCAAGGGGAAGATTGCCGCTCAGTGCAGGTATGAGACATTCTTTGAATGTTCACATCTTAGGGTTCACAATTGAAGTTCTCTGGTTCAGATCTCACTGCAGTGAATGTTTTTCTCCAAATCCCTTTTCTGATTTACGATGCAATTGCTTCGTTTCCTTTCTTGGCATCCCTTTGTCACGAGGCTTTTTTCATGTCTAAAATGCTCACTAAAGATCCCAGCCATTACTGAGGCAATGTATGTCCACTCGCCTAATTTATCTTTCTCGTGCAGTCACGCCACCCTTGGTCTCTACAAAAAAATCGTAAACAGAGCTCCGAAAGCCCTAACGAGGTGAGTACCTGACTCGGTCTAGACTTCTTGTGCAAAGTGCCTTTCTAGGGGGATTACTTGACATCAGGATATTTTCTGTCTGAAGAGTTCCTCAAACGGGCCCCTCGTCTGATGTTTTGTTGTGATTGTGGGAAAATTGTTCTAGGCTTGAAATCTAACTGCTTTTTCCCTTCTTTATGATCAACATATCCAAGATAATAGTTCTCGATAACATTATCCTGTCTCGAGCCGAAAGTGAGCTGTCTAGATCCACACTAGAAGTTCATTTGAGAAGAAGAGAAATTACTTTTTAATCCCTGTGATCTATCGCAGGTGGGAGATGTGTGGTCAGGTAAAGGTGGTCACTAAAGTTGAAAGTGAAGAAGAGCTTCTGTTCTTACAGGTGAGTGCCATCTACTTCAAATGCACGATAGGTGACGTTGGCTTCTTCATTGTGACCAAGCTAGTTCGTTCTCAATGCTCGTCAAGAGGTAGATTTGGCTAAGCACGAATTGAACAGCCCAATAAGGATATTCGTATCACGCATGTAAGTTTATCAGTCCTAACAACCCTTTCTTTTGCTCACTGGCTGTCTAAGCAGAGTCGCGCTAAAGGTTTGAAAATTCCTACACACATCACCGTTGACGCTGGACGAACGCAGATAGCTGCAAGTAAGTAACGTTTATAAGTAAATACTGAATGAAATTGTTGCATAACCGTCACAAGTATGCGACTTTTTCTCTGCTCAAAACTTTAACACTTGTTTGCTGTCTCGTGGTCGATTACATGACTCTATTCGTAACCAATGATGGCTAAGACGCCAATAGATCCACTGTTTAATGATTAGGTCATCCTTACGTTTGTATCTTCAACACAAGAAATCTTCATTCTCATGCAGTCATGGTGTGAGGGACGATACATTCACATGAATGGGAAGGTATGGAAAACTATCAATTGTAGGAGGACTTACTATGTCAACACAAACTCTGGTCATCTTCATTGTAAACAAGTTTTCTAATGGATTGTTTGTGTGAATCGTGCAGACTCCAGAACGGTTATGTCAATCTTAGGTGAGCTTCTGTGAGGTCTCATCTGAATCTTCGTTATTGTGGCCATGGATTCTGTAGTATACTGCAACCTCGCCTCTGCTGAAGTACTCTTGACGTAGATGTCCTCTGGTTAGGCCCTTGATCTACAGGGAGTAAATCTAGGTTTGAGACAGGAGATCTCTAGTCGTGCGAAAGTTTGCTCTCTTACATCGAGTTGCGGTTTGTTTGCAGGGCCCGTTAGGATTGTTGACGAGGTTACGAGAGGTCTGAAGCTGTTGTAGTTTCGCGTTCAAATCACCTGTTGACATTCAATATAGTCCAGCAATTTTGATCTCTGACCTTAAAGCGTCAATCAAATGCTTTGACGAGTAGGGAAAATATAGGAAAGTCTAGTGACTCAAATGTGGTACATTGCCATTGCATACCAAGAGCTCGAGACATTACATATAAAGACCATATATCCTCAATTACCCTTCATGCTACTATAAATGAACTCTTTACCGTCGAACTAAGGTCGCTTGTGTCCAGAGTGGATGAATCAAGTTACGTATTAGTTTTTTTTAAAGTTATGTTTCGTAAGCGCCGCTGGTGAGATATGGTTTCCAGGCATGGTTTGAGGATCGTTCGTGTGAATTCATATTCTTACAAGGGTGCAGACAAGGTTCCCATACTTGGGACGTCTTGGAAATCGACGTCAGAGGAAGTTCCCGGTGGAAGATTACACAGAAGTCCTGTACTCCTGTACTGTCTTCGTACCGCAGGAGTTTCTTATAAACTGCTACATTGTAAATATTTATATTCGAAGAGAAGTTGGCCACTGCTCTAAGTCATGTATTCAGTGGTACTTTGGAACGTTCCTCAAGTTTGGCCAGACAGTGTTGTTTTAATGGGATGTTACCTCAGCCTTTCATTCGGATGTCGCTAGATTCTCTGAAGGGTAGTACAAGTTCGCTTATTATCCTCTTGAATGCATGGAACATATTCGTGACGTGGTATCTGACATGTGGAAATCCTTTCTACACTCTCCTTGAGGTGGCACAGTAGACTGGCTTTCTAGTCTTTCGGCGTTTGAATACCGCGCTACAACTCCCTCTTCCTGCGTGCTGGACTCTTGCGTGGGAATTGATGCGTCTCGCCGCTCTCTTCAGCTGATGCTGGACAGCGCCGGGTCTGGGTCGGGTGGCCTCGCTGTCTGGGCGAGTTCAAAAAACGGTTAAGGTCTCTCTTCCGTTGGTGTGAGTTCCTCTTCATACAATCACCTCAGTGTTCGCAATTCGAATGTGCCCAAGGCTTGGCGGCTTCAGTCTCCAGCCGGATGTTCTGGCGGGAAGTCTGCTGTTCATACCCCACATCGGAGCACAGAATAGACCACGTTTTAATCTCTATCGCTTTCAAGTACGGACAGCTGCCTTGGCCACGAAAGCTGTTGCTGCCAGAGTACTTCATCACTCGATCACAGCCACATAGAATGGATAGGCAGACAAGATAATCTTTTCCATTGTGTCTCAACCACTCTTGGGATCCGGAACGTTTCGTCATCTCCTTATGGCCCCCAGAAGTCTGATACGTAGGAGATCTCTTCTCATTCGTGATCAGTGTGTGCACTCTGCACTAATCACCGCGAGATTCTTTCGTATGGAGAATGAAGCGTACTACCTGAAAGATAGTCTTTCCGGACTCTCGGTGTCCAGCAGGATGGGAAGTTGAAGTCCTTGTCTCCTCTTCGGTTGTCTCTAATCGTCTGAACGTTTTCATCTCCGCACGTGTCGTCTGGACGGCTAAGTCTATTCAGTTTTGTTCGTCAAACCTCCAAGTCGACTACTCAGCTACTCCGAGGCAGAAGACATCTTGTCCTTGGCATATTCTTCTGTCTGCTTTTTCTCTCAGAGGTTGCCATGACGCATGCAGACTGGGCCGCAGTCGAGATGGTGTGATGATAGAAATTCGCCCATCGGACGGTGTACACTCCTCTACTAGTTCAAATTATTGTATCTCAATAAGCTGACCGAGGGGTCAGGAACTGGTCGTACTGGATTAACACAAATCGAAGGCCTTGACTCCTGTCAACTCCGTAAGTTATTGCTAATTGATAATTCTTTTCATTCCGTTGTAGTTTGTGGACCAAGGGTCCATATGACACGATATAGCTCGATGCCTTCGGAGGGTGGAAAGATCCGCGGGGACTCGATTCCGGCACAATGCGGTACAGCAGAGGTTGCTCGTTAGAAACAAAGAGCACACCAGTCAGGGCTTTGAGGTGTCTACCTAGCGCAATTGCCCTACCATGCGAGGTGTATAAGCCATCTTCACAACAGCCTTTGTGCATAGTTGTAAAATACATGGGATTGAAACTGGGACCGCCTTTCCATTCAAATTTCTCCTATTTTAAGAGTTAGGTTCTTCGGACTTGCGCGCGATTGGGTCAAAGAGGGGAGGACTTTCTGTGAACTTTTAGCGACCAGCAATGAAATGCAATTCCCCGAGTGTTGACTCAGGATCCCTAAAGAAGACCATTGGGATCATGGGTAAATCTCCTCTCTCTCCGACTTCACAAACACGTAGATCCCTCTCTCAAATTCTGTGCTCGAAGACGCCCTGGAATTATGGAGATAGGAGCGAGTTGGTGGATCGGTAATATGTTATTCAGGAGTGCTTACTACAAATCTTGTACCGTACCCACCTGCCAAGCAATGAGATGCGTTGAACTAAGTTGATGGCTCTATTGTAAGTATATTGCACTTGTTTAACTATCACTCGTGAACTTTTGAGACAAATGATTGTTGTGCTGACCACACTACAACGATACAACAGCCCCAGAGCTCACAGCAGCGCCTTTCAGTATATTATTCTATCCCGTATTTACAACCGGAGATCCTCTACTCCTCTAGTGGGTTCTTGTCGTGGAAATTCTTGAGTATGACAAATTTATTCTTCATGCATGTGTTCTTCATCATGACTGCCAAATACCACGGTGATGACAGCTTGGATAACGGGTTCCAGTACCCAAGCCTGACCCCCAGATAGGTGTCTCACTCTGTTCTTCGTGCGCGAAAGTCTTTGAATCCTGTTTGCTTATGGTCCACCTCCTGAACAGAACGAGAAGATCAAGGAAGATTGGTTCTGTAAGCTTCTGCAAGCTAATTAGTCACGCACGTTTCGGACTGGATTTATTTTGGATGAGTGCCGAGTCTCCTCAGTCAAGCTCGCTCATGTTTGAAAGAAGTTTATTTGGTATCTAGTGACAGAAGAAGACTGTTCCAACCGGAAGAGACCCTGAGGTCACAGATGCCGGGCAGGACTAGTTTGGACTCGAGTGAGACAAGAGATTTTCAAGGAGAACTCGACGCCATCATAATCAACCGCTTGTGCATGACGTACAGAGAACAACCAAGACGAAGGTTTGTGGAAGCCGGGTTGCGGTCAAAAGACGTGAGTCGAGATGGGCTCTGAAAACCTTCGGAAGTAATGTCCCACTCAGCAATTCCATTCGCACGTGATTAAACTATTCCTGGATCAAAAGTAAGACGGCAGCAGTTCTCGCTGCATGGGCAGGCTCACTTACTTCATTGCAAAGTAATCGGTAAAACCAAAAGTCTGCAAAAGTTTTACTCGAATGCACACAGAGGAAATTTTCAACTCCACAGTTCTCGGTTGCCCCCTTTTGGCATTATTTTATTGCCGGGCACCATCTTCGCGAACTCGAAGTGCCTTTTCAGGATTCCCCGCGCGTACGCTGCATTTCTCCAAAAATACCTCGAACCCAGCCGGTAAGGTGAGATCTCTCTCCTCGTTGGCGCCGGCCGGCCCACGGTCTGCACGTGAGGTGCGGCGCCGAACGTGCCCACGCCATTCGTTTGGGCGAATGAGTGACTGTCATCTGGCACGAAGAGCATACACCCACTGCGACTTCTCTGGTTCCCGCCAGTAAGGAGAGGTCTGACCTGGCATGAGTTGAACTCAAGGCCAACGTGTTTGGTTTCAATGTGGTTATCGTCGCGAGGAGGAGCGAGGCAGTCGTCGCACCGTCTGCAGCCGGTCGGACGCCCGCCAGCTGGACTCGGGTTAATGTCAGCACTTCTTGACCAGGACACTGGGGCTGTACGGTGTATCTAAACGAGGTTAAACTTAATGGTCGCTGAAGGCAACAGCCACGGATTTACCCAGACGGTAACTGTAATGTGAACTAACCACGCAGAAATTATCCGCATGATTGGAAAGGGTTGCGTGGTTCATGGGGCACGTGGAAGGTCGAGAATCGATGGGTGAGATCGATCCGAAAGCATCCGACGAGCTAAATGGCGGGTTGCTCCCTTTTGTCTTTAGTGTCGTCCTGACGAGGTCCCGAGCTGGCCGAGGAGGCTTCGGAGAACCCTGGTTTGCCAAAAGATTTTCGCTGCACACTTGACATTAAGGAAGAAAAGAGAGAATGAAGCGAGGCACGGTCGAGGAGAGGAGGGAGAGGAGCGAAGGCCGAAGCCGAAGCCGAGCGATGCGAGATTGATTGAAGAAGAAAGTGAGGAAGCCCGCCCGCCCGCCAGCCATGTCCATAGAAAGCGTATTGTATTCGAGGCGTGCGGATGCGGATACAGAGGCCGCGATGGCCTAATTAAGTGCGTTTGTTTCAAACGAAGGTTTCAGGAACGCGTCTCGAGGACAGGTGAGGTACCTTGCCCTCGATCGCGTGCATTAGGGTCTGGCTTGTGGGACTCGAGAGAGAGCGCGAGAGTGAGTAGGACTGGGATGGCCGTGCATGTGAGTGATTTGGAAGGTGCGCATGGACGTTAATTATCCGCGGTGTTGTCCGCTTCGTGGACATAAGGCATTTTGACTGGAATTAGGCTTACACGACAGATTCAGGTGGATTGAGACCTCCGTGTAGTCGACAGCGTTGGACATACAAAATTCCACTTTCGCGGGAAGAAGACGTCGCGAGCGTTTGCCATACAATGGTTTTGTAGCAGGTGGAGGGAGGAAGTGTCTCGGGGGTCGGTGCGAAGATTTTGTAGCAGTCGGTTGGCCTTGACGCGCATCTTCGCTTATTTCGAACGTAGAGGTTGTAGCTTATGTACGTGATCTGGAGGGAAGTGGCGAGCAGAACTGGGGAATTGAAGTGGTAGACAAGGGCAGGTTCATTGATTCGGTGCCGATTTATTGGGCTCAATTAGGGCACCTACCTTCAGTGTTCGATCCATAATCTCATAACGAGATAGCCATGGTTAGTGGAACACATCAATTGGCCGCCTTAGGTCCTGCATTCGCCTAGGAGTGTGGGGATTTAGGACAGAAGCACGCGAATTGGATTTTCGTTTTTCTCGTGGTAGCTTTACTGAAAAGCGAGCGAACTCTTGCGAATTTCGTTCCAGACCTAAGATCCCGCGGATGTCGAAAGAACGAAGGCACGGACTGAAAATCGCTGTTATTATGGATAGATTATACCTTTCATCTGGAGCCTCCTGATCCCATTTTATTTTTTGAAATTTTCTTGAGACAGCCGTGTCAGTTCTTTAGATGCCGGATGGTCGTTCTTGAACAGGGCTTGGTGTTTATGCTCACTGAAGGGACTGAGCGGAATTTTATTCGATCTAGTACAGGATTTTGTATCTTTATTAATTGGTTTTCATTAAGAAAACGGGTGCAAGGTTGTTCAATTTTTTCTAGTTACTGATGAAGAACGCAACCCCACAAGTGCAGTCCCGAAGCTGAAGTCAGGCTATGATCGATTGACCCTTTCAGGAGTCAGTTGAACCCCTGAGTCGGGAAGTCCCTGATCTTGATGCACTGGTTTACAATACTAGCTGTGGATCTTTTCAGATTTCCAGGTTGGCTCTATTTTAAACGTAAGCTGAATGTGTCGGTCGAAGCCCAGCTCACCTGGAATTCGGTACACAGCTCTTGGTCAATGGCAATTAATCTGGTCTTAATGGGGGCATCAGAACGGGATGTTTCTTGGAATACGACTCATTACCTATTCTCATGATCGACGTTTGGCAACCGTGTTACCCGGGAACTGAGCAGTCGCAGATGGCTTGGTCTTGTGACCTAGCGTACTGTTCCACTCCGCATCGTTCCCTACAGAACTTCAAGAACTTATCCTCGGCTACCAAATTTTCTCACTGCTTCGTATAACCTGTTGGAAAGCGTTGAGTTTCTTACGTCTGTCTTGTCCCTCTTCGTCGCGATATGGAAGCCGATCTGCCATTATAATTTCACAATATGTTTGTGGAACTGAATTATTTACAGCAACCTTTCGTTCTCCGTTTCGGGTAGAAGTTTTCTGGCTATGGAATCACTTCACCTCTTCGGCCACGCCGTGGAGACTGCACAGGACTGTTTATGGCATCTTGATCATCGCCTTTCCACTTTAGGTCTTACATGTTAGGATATGGAGGGAAGGGATGACGCATCTGAGAACTATAAATCGTTCCTCCGTCTTTCTGGATATAATCCAAAGGTTAGGTTTAGCATTTGAGAAAAAACACGCAGTCGCAGTTTATCAATCATAATTTCAACATATTTTGGCATCGTATTCGTCTAATGTATTCGTCTCTCCAGGTCTGACTAGCCCACTGTCTGAGAGCGACTCTTGTTTGCTAACTTGGTGTTTAATTTCGAGTGTGCCGAATCTTTAACGTCTGGGTTGATATTCATCTCACAAGATTGCGGTTGGCAGGATCATCGAGATTGTGATATTCAGATGCACACTACGCGGATGTTTCACAGGGTGGACGTTGACGAATTGTTCGATGTCTGGGGAAATGCTGGGAGTTGATTGGGAAGCATGATTCGAAATATGGCAGGATGTAAAGGTGCGATTCCCGTGGATGCTGCCGGGGCTGCATCTGCGTTGCAGCTTGCTCAGCAGCAGGAGCAGGTGTCTATTGACGTTAGTCGGGCGATGGCTCCCCCAATCTCGCTACGCCATAACATTGTTCACAAGGAGAGTGTGGAAGTTGACCTAAGAGAAGTTTATTTCTTGGTTATGCATTTCCTCGCCAATGGTCCGTGCACGAGGGCCTTTGGTCAGCTGTGGAATGAACTTCTGCAACACAAACTTCTACCCCGTCGATATCATGCCTGGTACTCGAGGGATCACCTACCAAGTGGGGATGAAAACGACGATGGCTTATCGTTTCCTTTGAGCTACAGAGACGTCGCTCACAGGTATGTTGCCAGCACTGAATTATGATACAATTGAAGCCCATTGGTGCAGGTGCACTTTATTGTCTCTACTGAGACGCACCAGTGATCTCTATATGAAATTGGCGTAATAAATATAGTAGAAAAGTTTTATAGTTTACCAACGGGATCACTTCAACCTATCTTGCTGGCAACACCAGCTTCTCTGAGCCACTTTGGGGCTGTTGTGCTTATGAGGATGTTCTCTACCTATTTCCAGCTACTCTTTTGTCAATAGCATGGGAGCTTGCATGGGAGAGAGTCAAACAATAGCTTTTTACGTGCAAGTCTATCTCACGAGGTGCAGTACGGAGCTTTGGGGCTGAAGCGCCTACTCTCGACTCATCGTCCTGATGGATTGGACCTATAAGTGGACAGTGGTGCAAAGTATGTAGAGTTCGCTAAAGGCAATGTATTAAGCATTCTAACGATCAGCAGTATTCTTAATCCAAAAATAGCTATCGGACCCCGTCGATGGATTAATGCCTATGTTCACTCGCACCCTTGGCTGCTTTTTGTTAAGCTTTTCATTAATGAGAAGTGTAATAGATCTAACCGAGTTGGATTGAGGAATTAGTCTGATGGCCAGTTGGAAGCTTCTGTAAATTGAGTTATAAGGACTCTTTCAACCGAAGTTTTCTTCAGGCAGCCTGCAACAAGTTGCTGAAGGATAAGTGGAAGAGAGCTAAGGACCAGGATAGGTCAAAACAGGTTGAGTTGAAGATTAGATTATTGTGGGCCGATGAATAGCTGGGAGGTAGTGTGGAGGTGACATTTTACTGAAACTTATTTGCTTTGCTCTGGGAACTCAAAGCCTTCGCCTATGCTGTTAGCGTCTCTTCTCAATCGTTCATGTGAATGCTACTTCATATTGTAGCTGTCGCAATTACAGACATCATTTCAGATTCTGTCTTCCTGCTCTCTTCCTGGCCCCAAAGGTGAAGAAAATGTTTTTCAGACATCCTTACTTCACCGAATTAAAAAGTACTATGCACAATCATCCAAGTAATCATCCTTTCAATGTCAATTTACCTCTTGCTTGGAATTGTCACTAAAACTTCCAAGTCAAGCAGCTTTCACGAAGCAGTTTGTAATCTTTATTTTAAACTAACATCTATACCTTTAACGTTTTCTTTTCACAGCACTTCCGGTGTGAGGGCAGCTGATGAATAAAGCCCCAAACGTTGGTAGATAGACAAGACGGGCATTGAAGTAGAGGCTTCTATGGTCCTCCTTAAATCAGCCGTAGAATCTACTCAGTACTCTTTCTCCTCTCTGGCGCTTTTCTCATTGTAGTGGTGCCCCGTGTATTTGAACAAACAAGCGTGATCTGTCACTCTTTGATGTTTCATGTTGTTTAGTCTTAACTGTTCATGTTCATTTTAACTGCGTTCAGATGTACATGAGTCGTTACATTACATCAAGCTTCTGTAATGTAAGCTTTCTACCGACTGGATTTACTGTACATTGACACGTATCGTGCACCATGTAATGTAATGTGACCACCGCTTCTGGAAACTTGAAGTATTCTGGATACCAAGTTGCTAGAATCGCTCTGGAGCCTTGAAGTATGGAGTCTCAAATACGTTTGCACTGATTTCGTTTCCGAATAAATAAAACTGACTTCACCTCAGTCGTAGATACTGAAAGCAAGCTCATGTGCAATCAATATGTTTGAAGTCTACAACAGAAATATTTCATGTAACACCTAGTAGGACTAGGACTTCTTCGGAAAGCCACGCTTCGCTTAGAATGTGAACTGTCTGGATGCCGTTTACGCTATCACGTGCATCTAATCAACGTGCTACTTTGTGCAGGCATCCAAATATACCAAACAGTCACCTTGTGGACCTCTTGCAGCAGCTTCTTGTGAATGATAGGAGGTCTGTTGCCGCTCTGGATGCTCATTCTAAAATAGTCACTGCTGCGGACGCCCCAACGCTGTTAGGATCCGGTTCCTTCTCTCTACTGGATTGTAAGTGTAGTGCCGTTGCTTGAATATTGGGGTATCACTTCATACACGACTAGCGTGAAACTGAATATAAAGCTTCTCTTCCTTTTGTTGACTTGAATTGCTAGCCCTAGCAATGTTGCACTGGGTTGCGTATCTAATGGTTGTTACACATGCTTCGGAGTCAATTCTAACTATTGTTCATTACCTCACAACTGGTGCTTTTCATGGCAGTGGAGCGGAACAAACAGAAAGGTTTGGTTTCCCGATGGAATCAGCATATGCGTTGGCCACACTGGCAGGCTGACCAAGTACATGGATTGATGCTTCGAGAAGTTGGGGGTGGCTTTGCTCGACATCACCGTGCTCCTTCTGTGAGAACTGCCAGCTATGTGATAGCCAAGCCGTCTGTTTTTTTTCACCGGATCCAGATTATAAAGAAGCTTAGAGGACATCGTAACGCTGTCTACTGTGGTATGTAATCCCTTTCTGCACTTCAGTTCTCTCTGGATCAACTGGTAGTTTCTAAACTTTTCGATTTGTTCTATGGTGCTTTGTCAGGAGTATCTCCTTCACGACCAACATAGATGTTGAATATTCGTCCACCCATCACTTTGGTTCTTTAGTTTTATTTGAAACATGTATAGTTCTAAATGACCTTTTACAGCTCCTCAGGAAAGCTTATATAAATTCCTGTGTTCTGGCGGCAGCGATATTTGATAGAACAGGACAGCATGTCATAACTGGATCTGATGATCGACTCGTGAAGATTTGGTCAACAGAAACTGGTCTTTGTTTACGCAGCTGTCGAGGACATGAGGTTCGTAGTATTCTTACTATGATGGATGTGCTCATCTTTGCGATATAGTAGGTGTCGTATCTCCAAATACATGATTAAAGGTTTTACGGTTGCTTTTCTGTGCCCATTAGGTGTGGAGTATTTCAGTCTGATCCCCTGCATCTCTTGTTCTGCTCACAGGGTGACATCACAGATCTTGCAGTGAGCAGCAGCAACAGTCTTGTTGCATCTTCCTCCAATGACTTTTCTATCAGAGTTGTGAGTCTTTTCGAACTCTGGCATGACTGCAGTAGGTAGGTAGGGAGCAGTTGTTGTATTTCATCCTTTTTTTTCATCTACCTAACAATATGGTGTGTGGGCAGTGGCGATTGCCAGATGGTTTTCCCATCTCTGTACTGCGCGGACATGGAGGGGCTGTAACAGCCATCGAGTTCAGTCCCCGTCAGGGTTGTGAACACCATCTTCTTTCGTAAGTGCAACAACTTTTCTGCGTTCCGCTGATTGTAGTTCTTTCCTAACGTGTTGAGACTTAAGTATTATCACGTTGTATAGTGGCTTGTAGTGTCACAATTGCTCCGAAATGGTTCGACCACGTTCCTTTTCTCTTCCTCATCCTTTTCTTCCTCACGACGGCTTCTGTTTTGAAGTGATTTTATATTCATCGCTTTCTGTACGTTTGCCAAAAATGGATTCGGTTTTTTCTGATTTCTCCTTTTCTCTGAATGCTGTCACAGTGATACATTGTTTTGCTGGCCTTCACTCAAGGTTGATTCCAATGCGTTAAATTACTCTTCTTTCACGATGGTCTACATCCGAAGGACACTTCTTTTAGTTTTATGGCATTCAGTATTTTCTGCTTGCTCTTTTCCCATACATGATAACAGGTTCGTGCCAGGCAGTGTTTGACATAGGTCTTGGCAACAACCGAAGTTTTTCCTTTGGCTTGTTGGGCATCGAGTTCTTCTCGGCCCCCGCGCGGCCCACTGTAGAAACCTAAGCACCTCGTTATCTACTGATGAAACAGCCGAGTCTAAGTTCCGGGAATGTGACGCTTCCGTTCAAATATTGTTGATGGTCACTGGAGGACTTTCTTCTGTCGGACTGGATTCTTCATACCGCACACTTAGTTATCACCACTGTCAGTTCGACAGCGGGGCTCTTCCTTGTATTCCACCGTGTTACTGCTTCGTGCCTCGTGTTCATTGATCGGTTTGTCTTTCCTTCTCTTACAGATCCAGTCCATGCATGAAATGTCCCAAATTTATAAGTGGCTTCTTCTTTCTTGCTATGTAGGACATTTTGTTGGCATCGTTGAAACATAACACCTGGTCATGCGTTGCTTTGGTCTCTTACGTGCTAAGTCCTTGCGGCTACTCATGTACTGCTTTATGTATGGAGAATTGGGTTTAGTTTATCTGGCATTGTAGACAAAGTGCTATTCCACGGGATTACTTGCCTCTCGTAATTGATTTGATCATCTCAGTAGCTGGCACTGTTGATGGTTGTAATGAAGTTGCATTTGTCTTTTTCAGTTCATCTGATGATGGTACTTGCCGTATTTGGGACGCCCGCGATTCAGCTGTTAATTCTCGCGTGTACATGCCAGACCCTAAGGACAGTCAATGTGGTTAGTCACGAAGGGGCCCTTTATTTTTTTACACGGGTGATAGTTACTATCAAAAGTTTGAGTTGCTTCTCTTCGTGCGTTAGTAACTTAGATTGTTGGAGGAAGCTGTTTCAAATCTTGACTTTTGCATGGCGTGCATGGTGATTGACCATTGTTTATTGTAACGTTTGCAGCCGCCAGAGGGGCCACAGCGCAAGCGCCTCCAGCTACACAACCGAACCACCAAATTTTGTGCTGTGCATTCAACGCCGATGGCAGCATTTTTGTTACTGGGAGTTCAGACAGGCTAGCCAGAGTAAGTGCAAACATGAAGTGATTTGAAGCGTGATCTTCAACTTTGTGCTTTCGATATCTCGTGATGTGTACGACAGTCGCAATTTTGGGGACCCACAATTTTCTTACAAGAACTTGATATGGAACATTTAGCTGGGTTGTGACGTAATAAATTATACGCACTGGCTGTCTTGCAGGTTTGGAATGCCACCAAGTGGAATGATGAGCTCACCGGAAGACCAAATTATGAACTTGATACCCTTCAGGGTCATGAAAATGACGTCAATTATGTGCAGTTCAGGTTTGTTGGCCGATATTCGTTTAGTAGTTCCTATCATCGTTTCACTCTCCTACGTTTGTGACATGTTTTATATGCGAGTTGCTTTAAAGCTAACACTGGGACTTAATATTTCTTGCTATTCGGTGAAGTGGGTGTGCAGCACCATCAAGACCGTTCTTGGTGGATAACGTTAAGGAGGATCATCAGCCTCGCTTTAAAAATACATGGTAAGGCTGTTGCGCACAACTCCAGATTTTGTTCTCAGTTTTCAAGAATGACAGCCTGATGGTTATATTTAAACTTATGACGTTCATAGTGAAATATTTTCAGCTATATTATTTTCCCTTTGTCGTCCTCCGTCGACTGTGTTGTGCTCGTTGAGTTTTGTAGTATAGCTGATGGTCTAGAAATCGACTCTTGTTAGTCGCGAAGGTTGTTGAAAGTCCTCACAATGGGAATGCAGATGTAATACAGATTGAACGCATTTCTATATTCCTGTCATAGCTTGATTACCCTACCCCATGGCGGATCCGTGCTTTAATTAACAGAGTGTGATGAAGGTGGAGTGAGGTTGGGATGAAGATGGTCTTTGTTGTACGGATTTAAAAATAACTGAAGAAGCGGAACTGGTTTTGGTCCAGGTCTGAAGCTTGTTATGGTTGTGTATATTATGTCGATTTCTTCGTACCTTGAATCCACGTTTATGTGTCTTGACATTTTCAGGTCTGCACATGACAGCATTGTGACATGTTCGCGGGACGGCAGTGCTATTATCTGGACACCCCGTCCTCGTAGACATCACGTGAGTCATGTATAGCTTGTGTATATGCAACGTAGCTATCATGTTTTGATCCAGTGCCACCTTGGCGTCTCTCCTGCCTACCTCTTACCGGCCTAATATCGAATGCCTATCGTGTTACTGCTAATTTTTGTCAAAACCATGTGAAACTGAGCACCCAGTTGAAGTTCAAGTACTGCATCCTTTTCCAGGCCAAGGCTGGTCGCTGGATCAAGGCTTATCATTTGCGTGTACCACCTCCACCGAATCCTCCACCACCTCCAAGACCTGGAGGACCAAGGCAGAGGCTGCTACCCACACCAAGAGGTGTGAATATGATCGTTTGGAGTCTGGACAATCGTTTTGTACTCGCGGCAATCATGGGTAAGTGATGGAGTGCCTTTTTACATTGCCTTCCATCAGCTCTTTTTTGCAATGTCTAAACTAGCCTTGTGTCTAACTTAGGTTCTGGTCTGAGTACGATAAATTCGATGTTTCTTGCAGATTGTAGGATCTGCGTGTGGAATGCCGTAGACGGGAGTTTAGTTCACTCTCTCACAGGTCACGACAAGCAGGTATTTAAGAGCAGATCCCCTCTATTTATTACGATGTGTTCCCTTTGAGGACTGAGCAGGTTGTTACGTTTTATGAATGGTTACTAGTGGTAACGAGCATTCAGGAGATTGTGTTGGTTTTCTGAAGTTTTTTCCTTTCTGGGGTTGCTTCTATGATTAACCTGTCCAGGAACAAAACAGACAGACACAGCAGCCGAATGGCAGCTTTCTACCTTCATTTGTGCCTAGTTAATCGTTGATGTCGGGATGCAGACATATGTCCTTGATGTACATCCGTTTAATCCAAGAATTGCAATGAGTGCTGGTTATGATGGACGAGTCATAATTTGGGATGTAAGTCTTCCTTCCCATTTGAACTCTTTTCATTGTAAGTCTTGTTTTGAATATTCTTCAACGCAGTATATTCCATGTGCAAGATCTTCAGCGGTTTGAAGCTTTGCTTCCGTAAAATTTCTTACTGCCTAACTAGGGCTACCGTCTTGACGTGTTGACAAGCATATTAATGAGTATTTTGGTGCTTTAAAATGCGTCCCTTGGTACTTCTATCTTCGTACCATATTGTACTAACGTTGGACTTTTGCAGATCTGGGACGGTCATCCTATTAGGATTTATGAGACAGGAGATTACAACTTGGTGGACGGCAATTTTTCCCCGTAAGCAGTCCCCTGTAGCGAATTTGGTTGTCTTTGTGAAGATATTCAGTGCGTCGGATCAATGCAATGGAGTGCAAAAATTAGTTTTGATTATTTCCGTGAGAAGCACTTAATATCAGTTTCATGTCGCGATGTTAGAGCTCCCGGAATCAGAAAGTTGTCCTTAGTTGCTCACATATTGCGGTCAACGGCAGGGATGGATCATCGTTGGTTGTTTCCGACGAAGTAGGTCAAATTTACCTTTTCGCAACGGGTGAAGGAAACGCGCAGAAAGATGCGAAGTATGATCAGGTATACTTCCTTCTGATGATGGCTCAAACAGCAGAAGTACCCGTGCGTATTTGTTGGCTGCGTTCAATGCGAACCATGATCTTCGTATCTTATCATTAAGAGATATGATATGATATGTCACAAACAGTGGCACTAGTGCAATCCATGATCGAGTATACCTGTTCCTTTTAAGCTTAAAAATGATATTTTGGTTAGTATCAAACTGTTACACACTGGCTTTCAAGTAATTTCTGATGATTTGGTACTGCCTGAATTGTCAAAACAGTTCTTCTTGGGAGATTTTCGTCCTCTTGTGAGGGACACACATGGGAATGTACTGGATCAGGTAAACATACTTACTTTCCACTGGTTTCTGTAGACGCTGAAGTGTTTTGCTTGTTGTTCCTCGTGGACCTCTTAGTTTCATATTCGGGAAGATATTCTAGCTAGAAATTAGGTGAATATGTGAGGTTTTATGTGTTTTCACCTTGCAATTGAGGAAACGGTGTAGGTTCTAGATCATCATGAGCCGTGGGACGAAGTTTGCTATTGTCTTCGATTATCGTGCTTCTCTTGATGGCCCTCTTCAGAACTTACAGCATGAAATAGTGCAATTTGCGATAATTTTCCCGTATCGTCCGAGGAGACTACGTGCTTCATATCGACTTATGTCAGGGAATTGTAGTACCAGGAACTGAAGCATAGTATATCTTTGTTAAACTTCTACCTACCACTCACAGTTTCTTTTACTCACGATGTGCAAAGCTTTCGACGTTTCTTCCTCACATTGTTATGTACAACTAATGACGTATTTTTGGTTGCTTGTCAGTGTTCTCACTTTTTCCCTCAGTGTTGCTAGTTAATTGTTGGATTGAGGACTATCTTTCCATATTTTAGATGTCAATCTGGAGGAAGCTTTTGTTTTTGTGTGGAGAGACGTTATCAACAACAGCTTTCTTTTATGTTAATAGTATTATCAAACTTGACGAACTCTTTTCAAAGCTTGCTTAAGATATGAGCTGATTAAACTGATTTAGCTAGACACGACTGAAGAGAAGATTTGATTATTATGTCGGACGAACTCTTTTAAAAGCTTTAGAAACGAAAGAGCTGATTATCATTATCGAGTTTAACTGGACTAAACATTGATTGGCTTTCACCTGCGTGAATAATTTACTGTTGTAAACACTCATGATTGCAGGAAACGCAGCTGCCTCCTCACCAGCGGAATATACAAGATCTTCTCTGCGATGCGAGTAAGTGCCTTGGAGTTCTAGATTTCTCAACGACGATGACTGGACACTCCTTTCTGCCCCATCTCATCACGTATTATATAGAACCTTCGTGCTCGATGTCAATGTCTTCTCTTCTTGATAGAGCCCTTCTTAGTATTCTTCAGTGATTTCAATAGCTAGGTCTGTATCCTGCTCAGCTCCAACGCGAGTTCTCTAATGCGTGGCCATGTCCTGATTCACCGTGCAGGTATGATTCCTTACGCTGAACCTTACCAGACAAATTACCAGCAACGTCGGCTTGGAGCGTTGGGTATAGATTGGCAACCCCCAGCTGTTTTCCTAGCCATTGGGACGTTGGATGATCCAACGTATATAGGTCCTCCGGAGCCTCCTGTTGCTTTCCAGGCTCCAGTTGTACCTTCACCTGGTCGCAGGGAAAGGCGAGCTTTAGCTTCTGAAGGCGGAAGCAGGTGGGTCGAACAGCCCAACGAGAATGAAGAGGCCATGGATTGGGAACAAGAAGTAGTTGGGGTAACGGAGGACTCAGGATCAGACTACAGCGCGAGTGAAGAGAGCGATGAAGATGGAGAAAGAGCTGACAGCCAAGATGAACCAGACTCAGAAGACGAAGCGGAAGAAGAGGAAGACAATGAAGACGACGATGACGACGAAGAAGAAGATGAAGGAAGCGAGGATATTGGAAGTCGCCTGCGGAGATCAAGTAGAAATAAACGGAAAGCGGAGGTTTGTTTTCCAGCCCTTATCTTAGACACAATCTTGATGTATTTGTGTTCTTGAACGGTGAAGTTTATCGTGACATATACGCCGGCATGCGGAAAACAGGCGATCGTATGCCGCGACGCCTAAATTACCTAGATGTCCATGAGCTGTCGCGCCTAAATTAACGACTTGTATATGACTCATATAAGACGCACTTTCTCCTCGCGGGCCGAAATTAACACAAGATTGGGCAACCTTATAGAGGTTCCGAGGCAGATCAAACTAAATCAATCCCATAAAGTTTTTGAGTTGGTACTCGCAGCGTAAAAGCAAGTGGATAAGAAAAGTTGAAAGCTTTTGAAAGTGACATTCAGAATGAAAGTCCCAAGGACCATTCAAGAAGAAAGTTTTGTGGCTAATCCTCGTTTGACATTTAATGAAAATGAGTATGAAAATCGGTCAGCATTTTTAGTTGAAGCAAAATTATAAAGTGTGGTTTTTCAGATAGACTGTCATAATGCTGAACTACTCCGGTAAAAATACTGGCTTTCTATTTTCTTGGGCACTGCTCTCAGGTAAATGGTGTTTACAAGTTCAATATGCTCGAAACTTCTAAGTCTCTAAACTGGACTTTTGGATTATGTAAGTGGCTACAAAGAAATTTGCAATTAGGTTGACAAATTGCAACTTTTCGAAGGCTTCACGTATTATTTGCAGTTTGATCCGTCTTCAGGCAAACAAGATACCAAGGTAACTGAAACATGGAACGATTGCAAATTAATGTGATATATGGACAATACTTAGACCACTAACAAAAGAAGATAATTGTACGGCCGAGAAGTTTCTCTTGAGTAGCTTGGATGATTCGTGGGTGCTGTTTCACAAGTTCAATTCTTTACAGTCGATTCTATATCTTTGACAAAGCATTCACCAGCAAGTCTAGATGACCACTTCCAGAAAAAACTCCTTTCTTAGCTGGCTTTTCCCCCTCTCTTTCTCTCTCTCCCTTTCCCTCACTTCCTTCTCTTTTCACAGCAGTTGGAAGTGTGCAATCTAACTGATGTAATATGTTTGCAATACCAACTGACCAAGAATAGATTGTGTGTTCTTATGAGTATGTTGAAGAGGAAACCACAACTTGTCTTGACGATGTGATGTTGTCATTTGGCCCCCGCCTTAAACTAACCATTCCTGATGCGACTAAATTAAGTTGATTTAGGTAATTCAGGCGACTGCCTAAGAGAGTCCTGCAATGGGTACCCAATACACACCCATACCTATGGGTAAACGGGTGGGTAATTGGTGGGTACAAGGGATGTGTTGGTAATGGATGGGTATGACTTAGACTGAGCTCTCGGATTAAGTGTATTTAAGAGCTCTCGGACGAAGTGTAACCAAATGGTGGTGGACTCATGGGTATGAGTTGGGTATGGACGAGGTGCCATGGATGGGTAATGGGTGGGTATTGGGTATGGAAAAGTTGCCGTGGGTGGGTAATGGGTGGGTACAGTTGACCCACTCATGGGTATGGGTAAAGTTTTGAAGTCCAATGCAGGACTCTGCTGCCTAATAAAAGCATGCCTGCGTATACGTTAACACCCGTGTCCGGATCAGGAGACTCGTCACATGTTCATTTTTCCAGAAAAATTTGTTCTTTAATGGTTATATTAAGTTTACATTCTTCGTGAAATCCAGCTGGTTACACATTCTTCTTTGGGGAGGCGATTGAAGAGGAAGCGGTATGATGATACGGGAGATGGTCAAGGCTCTAATCGAAGATCATTGCGCCGGAGGAAGACAAAGCCTTCAAGAAATGGAGGGTTCACCTCGAGACACCAACCAGAATCCTCAAATAGACGTTACCAGCCAGAATCTTCAAATAGACGACATCAACCTGAAAGTTCTGCGAGAAGACACCAGCCAGAGCCTTCGTCAAGGCCCAAACGGTTAGCTGCGAGGAATGCTCTTCATCTCTTTTCCAGTATAAATGAGGAGGAGGAGGAGGAAGTACCAAACGAAGCAGAGAAGAAGGCGCCCGATAATACGGAAAGGGCGTCTGGATCCGGGGAGACTCAGCGTGTTTTGAGGAGCAGAAATAGAGAAGAACTGGAGGAGCTCTCCAGAGCCGCGATTGCCCAAGCCAACAAAGTGGAGTCGTCTGACCTTGGTGAATTCAGCCGTCGTCCAAGGTCTGCGCGTAAGTTGGTCGTCAAGTTGCGAAGTGCAGTTCCAAAAGTGGATCTTGAGGACTCCAAAGGTGAACCTTTCGATGAAGCTGCAGATGGAGCTGTGGCTGACCAGGCAGTCATTTCAGATGTTGGTCTGCTGGAAGATAACGTGGGCACTTCTGAGAATGCTGCTGTGCCTCATCGACCACTTCGAAAACTGGTTATCAAGTATCCCCGGCCTTCAGTTGGTATGAAAAGAAACGTCGCGGTAATAGAGTCGTCAGAGGATAATCACTACGATCATGGAAACGGAAATGGTAGTGAGGCTCGTTCCAGAAAATTGGGTCAGACATCTGATACTGACGAGGATGGGTACGAGTTAAACGATGATGTGCCCCTCGTTGACAAACACAGCTGGCAGTGGAAGAAAGGCAAGGCTGCCAAGCGTGCTCGAGGACATGACTCTCCAGAAGGAGCTTCTAACAACAGTGACGATTCGGATAGTTGTAAAAGTGCTCAACATATGAATGATTTAAAAGAAGCTCAGGATGAATGGGATGGCATTTCACAAGTCAAAACTTCCAGACGTCGGGATGAAAGCTTTTCAGGAGAAGCTAAGGATCCTCAGGTTGGCAAGTGGGAAAATGGTGATGAGTTGAAGGTCCTGATTGGGCCCGAAGGACGTATATCCTCTGTTCCTGAAACTGACATACCTTCAAGTGAGGAACGATTGTTACGTGCAGAACTTGACGGTGGGTCGGCGCATGAAAGTATGCGGGAAGACGTTCCGTGCAACGGGCAAGCTAGTCAGAATGGCAATTCGACGGACAATGGATTAATGAATGTTGGATCTGACGGCGAATGTACTTATTCACCAAAGAGGTGGCAGTGGGGTTTGAGAAGGGATGGGAAATCGAGAACAAGGGACAGAAGTAACGGTGAAACCAGTCACAAGCTCATTCCATACGGGGAAACAGATGTTTTGGCAAGACTAGTACAGGAGTCAGAACACAGACTACGGCACCTAGGGGAGAAGTCAGATTCTGCAAGAGAAAGATTGACCCACACTGGAGCGGGTAAATCTGAACCAGCTGAGAACAGTTTGGGCAAGGAGGTTCCAGAAGCCGAAGCATGGGATAGAGAAGGCTCTCCTGCTGATGACGATTCTGCTGGTCCTGACATTTCACAAAGACCGATGTCTTCACATTGCTCGGGTGATGATGGGAAGAATTCTCTTGTTTCTGTAGACAAGCAGTATGACCCGATACTTGAGAGAGATGTGCAGCAGGATTCTGAGCACGATACAGACATGATCGAAGGTGAAGGTGATGATGATGTAGGGAATGAAGGTGGAGACGAAGTGGGTGAGTCCATGCACCAAACTGACAGTGCTGGCGGAGAAAGTGACGAAGAGGAGAACAGCCAAAGTGAGCTTTTTGAGGGCAATGGATTATGTAGCAAGAATTGGGAAGAATCGGGTACTAGAGAAACTGATGAAGAAAGTGTAGATGAAGGAAAGCGAATTACCAGGCACAAGCGACAGAAGGCTCTGGGTGAGTTGCAGTCAAATGGAAGACACGAGTCTACAAACAACAGACACAATCCTAGTTTAGACGGAAGTGGTAAGACACGGGTCCGGCATATACAGTCTGTCCTCTATGACGGTGGTAGGGAAACCAGATCAAGGGCTGGAAAACAAAGAGCGCACTCGACAGAACAAACGGAGAGAATAAGTACTCGCACTCGCACTCAAAGTACTAAAGACGCACAGAGTTCCTGGCAGAACGGATCAGGTGAACGTCAGCTACGAACAAGAGGTAGACATCAAGGTATGCCAAATAGGGTACATAACAATGATTCCAGGAGAGTCAGAAATGGTCAAGGAAGTGCCTCAGAGCAAGAGGGACAGGAGGGTAGTGTAGAATTTGAGCTTCGAAGAGGCGCGAGAAGCTTAGAGAAGCTGGATGATGATGATAGCAACAGACACCTTATGAAGGAGAGAAGAACCTCCGGCCGAGCCCGCCGGGAGGACATGAAGAGAGAACACTTTTCTGAGAGGGATAGGGGCAAAAACATAGATGATAGTTCTGGTTTTCTTACAAAGGATGCTAGGGGTAAGAAGAATCGAATGAAACCAGATCGGAAGAAGAAAGATCTGGCCTGGTTACTACTCACCGATGTGGAGGCGGGTACTCGGTATATTCCTCAGTTCGGGGACGATGTGGTTTACCTGAGGCAGGTTAGTATTATACTCGTTTCATTCTACTTTTGTGAACCGCTTATGGGGCACATGACAGGCACAAACTAGTGAGTACAATTCTCAAATGTGTCAGCTCTTAATTGGCCATAGATTTCTATGTTCTCTTTGTATTTACAAATTTTATTTTATTTCAACTTGCAGGGGCATCAGGAATTTTTGGATTCCACTGGTTCAGAAGAGAAGGGTCCCTGGCGAACGCTGAAGCTACCAATTCGAGCGGTAGAGTTTTGTCGCATAGTTGGGCTTGAGTATGTTATTGTTCAAGAGTCTGATCAAACGTGCTGTAAGTTGACATTAAAGTTTACAGACAACGAGTCCAGAGCTTATGGAAGGCAATTCAATCTTACTTTTCCAGAGCTGACAAACTTTCCAGATTTCATAGTAGAGAAGAGTCGCTATGATGGTGCCATGAGGAAGGGTTGGGTCGTCAGGGATAAATGCCAAGTTTGGTGGAGATCAGAAGACGAGGTTGGTGGTGGTCACTGGTGGGATGGGCGCGTTCAAAAGGTTAAAGCCAAGTCTTCCGAGTTTCCCGATAGTCCTTGGGACCGGCTTTTCGTGCAGTACAAACTTGATTCAAATGAACCCACGAGTCACAGTCCTTGGGAGCTGTTCGAACCCGGCAATCATTGGCATGATCCTCCTCATATCGATGACGAGAGCAAGGCGAGTCTGCTGGCTGCTATTCAGGAGCTAGAGAAGTCGTGCTATGTGGGAAACGAGGTATGTCTTGGTGACTTCACAGCTGAAACAATAATTTGACAAAGTTGTGGGCCTGATGAGGAGTTAGTTATGACGCATAATTAATGCCTTTCTGATTGACTCACATTTTGACAAACCTCAAGTAGGTTGGTCCTATGTTTTCCATAGGAGTTCATGGATGTCTCACGTTCGCAAATTAGCAAGTCGCCTGCTACGTCTTTCAATTCTTCAGTTTTACTTGAATGCTATGCAACAATGGTAGCAAGGATTTTGATGGTCCTACGTGTAACGCGCTAAGTTTGAAGAATAAGTAGGTTACACATCAAGCTTCTACCTCCGTCATTGCCCTCCTGAATAAATTAAGCATGGTACGCCTTTGAAGATGGGGTGGAATTTGTTGGCCACTTTATCCAGAGTCAGTGGTCTACTTGGGATTTCTCTAAGGTGGCTTCGTGTCTAAAATTCAATCAATATAATAATCTTTGATTAATTCGAACCCTAATTTTGATGCCTCAGTTACCCTTCTACGTCTATTTAACCGAGTAATTTGTTGACTTCCTTTCTCTTCGCAGGATGAGTATGGATTGCGGCGTCTTAGTCAAGATGTTGAAATTCCTGAATACTTGAACTGGTATGTGTCTGACCTATTATCTTACCCTTGAAATTACTCTTGATAAATTTTGAAGGAACGATGGTCCACCGGCTACTCGTCTTGATTATACCCAACATAATTTACATAGTATCTGAACCTTGCGTGCTCGTCTCACCTTGCATCCTGGTTGTACTTTCAGCACCCCCCTTCCACTGGATCTGGAGACAGTGAAGCATAGGTTGGAGAAGGACTACTATCATAGTCTGCAAGCTTTTCGCCATGATGTCGAGCTCTTGGTATTGAACGTTCAAACGTACTATGGGAAGGAGACTGAACAGGCAGGAAAAATGGAAAGGCTAGCCCAAGTGCTTTGTAACTGTGTATCAGATGAGGAAGATGAGCCTGCGTCTAGTGATGGGAACGACTATGATTTTTAGATCGTGCACCCAAGAGATCTGCCGTACATACTTGTAGTATTAGTCTGTTGGGGAGGGTTTTGCGGGAATGCTTAGGTTGAAGTCAGCCCACATTAGTGCAAGGTGGTCCTCTCGTCATTTAGTGGTAGGCAAATATCCACCATCCTTTCTGACGTGGTGGGTTGAAGAGTTGTGCCATATTTGTCCTCCGTAACATATTGTAACCAATCTGATACTTGTTGTGTAAAATTTTTTCAGATGGTTTACATGATTTTCATTTCTAATTTTCTACTAACTCACAGCAACCAAGCGTTCGAAGTGTGGTTGGAAGTCGCTATGCACATTTAGGTGTTGGATGTACAAGATCTCAATCTCCTCGCTAAGAAGGAGCCATTATTGTGGGAACTTGAAGATTCTACTTTCATTCTGAGTGAAATGTTTACTGTTAATAATGTCAAACAGCTGTTCGCTAGCAGACCCTATTGGAGTTTGGCACTATTTCTTACGTACTATTTACTATATTGATTTGGCTCAACGTATACATTAACCTTACACTTAACCTTATGTAACCGTGGTTAAGTTTAAGTGTAAGTTAAAGACGACATATGATACCGGTATAAATAAAAATTTTCAACATCACTTAGAACACAAATAAAGTTTCTATCTACTTATCAAATTTGAAGTCAAAATTCTATGAAACTTACACTTAAACTTACACTTAAACTTACCGACGAGTGTATGTAATGAGTATTCCTTAAGGAATAATCATTACATAATAATGCTGATAGATACTTTACATATCATGGAGACAAACTTCGAATTTTTCAATTTACCAATGAAGTTCAATGTGAACAATCTTAATCACAATTTCTTTCTACGTTAATATTACAAGAACGAATGACAACAAATCACAAGAATATAATGTATAAAATTGTTCCAATACTCATTCTTGCTATAAATAGTGCAAAATCAGGAAGATTTTGGAACTTAACTATTAATTGAAATATAGGACAGAATAAATTAACTAGTACTATCGTCATCTGAGAGTTTTCCCGCTTAGAATAATCATGAGTTGGAAACGAAAGTCGAAGAAAATTAAATTGGAAGAAAATTCTGTAAGGTTTGTCTACATGTATAATATGAAACATTAGTAGAGAAAAGTAATGTGCATTCTCCCCTGACTTCAATGTGTTTAATGCTAACTGCTTTGCAAATACTTCTCCATACCTCTGCAAACTTGTAAATAAAATAAACGTGAACCCTTCTTGTGATTTATGCAACGACACATATCCTAAGGTAGACGAGCATATGTAGAATCAGACACAATCACTCCCAGCTTATTGTACAATTATTATAAGAATACTTCTGCAATTAGAAGAAATATGACTCAAGAATAAAGTTTGAACTACAATGTCTGGTAGTGCAGATTTTTAAAGTGATTGATATTGTAACTATATTATATATTAATTAGCGCATAAACCTGTAGGTTTTGAATTAAAAATTCAATTTGGCTCAATGTACTAGAAGCAAAGCAAAGTAAGGCGAAAAGTAAGTTATTTGAGTTGAACAGAGAATTGTCTTATCTATCTATGACAAGTTTCAACTAACAAAGATATTTGATGTGATATGTGAAGGATATATAATGTAAATATTGGTGATACTTTAAAAGCATTCACAAATTGCATCAATAGCTTTTTACAACTAATATTCTATCTTGTGTGTGATTGTAGTTCGACAATCAACACTTGCAAAACTGAAATAATAGTTGTGCATTTAATCTTTCTCCTATTCATATATTTGAACTTATGATTTCAACCCATACGCATATCGCTTCCACCAATATGGACAGTCAAACCAGATAACACATTGTCCTGTATTTTGTGCCAAGAACTACGATGATTTATTAGCTAAAAATCTTTGTCTGACATGTGCATGAGCTGGATGCACGGCTGCAAAATTTATTTTGAAAATGAAATTTATAGCAAAATTTATGAATACTCCATTAAGCTCGTGACAATTGCTGACATCTTGTAATCTTGATTGTATACATCAAATTTGAGTCATCAACATAGATTTAAAACTTCATCAATTAAATGTGAATTCAAAAATATCATCAATAAAAATTTACATATAAACAAGGTTAGGCAATAAGTTCTTTAGTGGCAATCTTTGGAGCTTTGAAGTATCATCCTATTGTTGAAATAATTTAGATTAAGCTTTTTTGATTACAAAATTTTTTCTGTTTTGAAGTTTTGAAGGCTATTAATTTTTTTAATTTTTTGAGTTTATGGATATTTCATCACATTAAGTTTTCAATCCTCTCCGCATATTTTCAAATGTGCCACATATATATAGTCAAACTGCAAAAAAACTCAAACAGTTTCCATTCTTTAAGCATTTTTCACCAATAAAGTAAAGAATGTTGATTTTGACTATTCATGAAACCAAAACAATTTGTCTTTGATTGTAAGTTTAAAGGTTTGGTTCTTTGCTCGTCGTTTAGTTTAGTGAGCGACTTTTACTGCTTCCTGCAGTTTCCCCTAGGGTTGTTTGCACAAACTTTAACTAAAACATACTACTAAGTCATCATATAAATGTGAAAGTAAATTCAAAAGCATCTTCTAGAAAAACACACATGTAAGAAACATATCAAAATACATTATTCATCATTGCAGATTTTTTTCACAAAAAGAATTCAGGCTTACATGGTGAAAATTCTTATTAGTGGCATTAAAAGCTTAACTGAGCTTTCTTACATATTTTAGATTAAATTGTGTAACTTTTGTTGGCAAAAAAGAGTTAAGTCAATAAATTTTAGTTATATTTTCTTGAATCATGTCTTGAAAATTGTAATCTCATGACTTATTAAGTAGAAAATTAAATTGAGAGCTATAAATATTTAAAATGTAAATAGGAGCTAATTATTTTTTTACACATGTCAAAAAATGATAGAATAAATATTTTGATTGAGCTAGTAAAATTAGTAATAAAGTCTAGTTCTACTCCTTTTGTAAAGCCACAAAAATAATAGAATGTTAATATTAAAGTAATAAGTTGAATCTATTCATCACACATATTGAGTATGATGAAGATGGAAGCAACAAGAACCGAAGACGAATGGTCTTCGGCGAAGGAACTTCAGAGTGGAGACCTTTGGTTGTGCCCATGGAAGGCCTGTTGGAGGAAGGGGAAGAACGAGGAAGTGATATGGAGATAGAGACTTCGAGTCGAAGTCTCCGACCTTCGGAGTAACCACCAGCGCTTTGACTGAAGATCTTGGGTCTTCGGGCAAGGAGACTTTGGATGTACGCGCGGAGTTGGTTGAGCCGGCGATACATCCCAATTTGATGGAAAAACTTATAGATCGAGTGATGACGAATGTGGAGAGGAATGTTGCGGGACAACAAGCAATGCCGTTGAGTCAGGTGTCTTCGGGTACAGTCGATTTGGAGTGTGACGAAGGATCTTTGGCCGAAGAACCAAAGACAGCCGGACTCAGTGTAATTGACATTTTCAGCGAGTGAATAGTTCCCTTGCTCAGATTTTTAGTTGGAAAGATGGCAAAGTACGCTGAATCCGCATTAGCGAGATCCTACGTAGAGTTAGTGCGTTGTAGGACGAGGGCGAAGGTGGCCGCATCTGTTGAGGTAGCCGAAAGAGTGGCGAGTTTGACCTCTGAATGCGCGATCGTGAAAGCTATCTTGCTGGAGCGGGAGAAGTGACTTCGGCAAAAGGAGTTAGAGTGTGCCAAACTTTGAAAAAGTTTAACGGCGGAGAAGGAATTTCATACGAAGGCGGAGCTGGAGTTTGTGGATCTTCGGGTCAATATCACCAATGCACAGAAGGTAACGGTGGAACTTTGGAACAAAGTGGATGTGTTTTGAAAAGAATTTGAGCAAAAATTGAAGTGCGCGGAGTAGTTGAGGGGAACTCTGGCGACGAGAGATCAATCGCATGTTGCTTAATTGACGTTGAAGTCAAAGGAATTGCAAGATTGCGAAGCTGCGCGGTCTTTGGAGTTAGAGCGTAGGGAGAAATTAGATGCAAATTGCTGCGAATTGCGATCTCAACGATCGGCAGTTGAGGAGTAGCAAGTCGCGGCCAAAGCCAAATTGCTGGAGACGGAGGCGACTGTTTAGCAGTTAGAGAGACGGATGAAGGTAGATCGATGCCTTCGCAATTATGTGGAGTGGAAGATCCAGACCATAAAGTAGACGAAATTGAGTGAGTTGGAGCGCCGAGTGTGAAGGAATTGACAGCCAGCGGAGTCGCAAAATAGTGGCAGTTAAGTAGAAAACTCAATTCGTTCATCTTCGGTTTGGAACAGACGAAGGAGAATTTAAAATTAGAATTGTCAGCCGTTTTGGGTAGTATAGGAGTAGACAAGAGCTCAACGGGCGTGGTAACTGCCGCATCTGCTGGCGTCGCACCTGATGGGGGCTCACAGCTTGTGGGTGATGCCTCCGGCAGTTGTGAATAAAGAAGCCCAAGGCTTTGTCTTCGGAGGGCTTTTTCATTAGTTAATTTCCCAGTTTTTAGTCTGCATTACTCCGCGCGTTAGTGAATTGTGCATTTTGTCACCGTGCTTGAATTGCTCCAGTTTGTCGAACATACTGCGTCTGAAGTAGAGAGTCCAATTCAGATGTTCTTAGTGGTGCATAATGTAGCTCATGATTTAAGCAAATATGTACATTGGAAGCTCGGTGCTGCCGGCTGAATGTGTAATCTTGGGAAATTTTCCTCCTTGAATATCAATTGCAGAGTTGCGTGCGGCTTCTGTGGGGACTTATTGGATGAATTTCAGGATTTGAGTGTGATTTCATCCTACAATGTGTCGAATTTAGTCTTAGCAATTGTAGTGTCTTCTGGGAGTGACATGTGCCTAAGAAGTAAAACTTTTCAATAGAATCTTAATTCGTGACACTACTTGACTCTTTGGTGTTGTTTCTGCTCTCGTGGAATCTTTACGATTACGCTCCATTTTGGTAATTTTCTGTTATTACATGTTGTGGCTTATAGAAATTTGAATAAACAAAGTCTACAATTGAATGAAACAAAAATTCAAGATAGTAGAATTTAAAAAAATTTGAATTTTTTTAGTCATCACAGATTTACATTTAATAGTTCATTATTCAATTGATATCATTGGAAATGAAAAAAATCATCAATTCTTTATGACAAAAAAGTGGCCAATCACGGTTTTGATGATATGCAATGTACTTATTATTGCTCAATATATGAGCAAA